AATAGTTGTTGTTGTTGTTGTTGCTATCAGTGCGCGCGTGACAAGAAGGAACAGTTGAAGCAGAGATATAGGTTGGAAAGTTAGCAGAAGCCGTTATAGAGTTCTAAAGTGTGACGTCACCAAAAACGTTTTTCTTAGAATTTTTGATAGCGAATCACTGCTATTTTTGCTCTTTTCAAAATGCTTAACTGAGAACTAATGATCTAATGATTTCAAAATGATTTATTAGAAGTATTTCACGATGCTCTTTCAGGCTATGGGATCCAAAACTCGAAGCAAAAAAAATTAGAAACTATCAAATCGTGATGAAACTGAGAACAACGAAATTTTCTAAAATCCAAGAACATGATTGCCCTGTTGGCCTAGAATTTAAGACACAAGGGATAAAAACATACTTCCCACATCTAATACAGCATCAGAACGGAAGCGAATCTCTTAAAAAGCAATGAGTATTGAAATTTCCAGAACATTAAGAAACTGGAGTACTCAACATCGACCTTTGTTTCTTATAAAAAGAATAAGTGTATCGAATTATCGAAGACGTAGATAAAATTGAACTATCATTTGTATCAGTGTTCATTCTTGAATTCTTCGTTATTATGGGCTGCAGAATTCGACAGTTGATAATGATATGCCAGGACATGCTAAAACTGCATTACATTGGTAGCTTTCGGAAATCCATGTTTGTCATTATAAATTATTAACACATTGTCAGTGACAAACTGAAATGTCGTCACAGGTATTCATGTGAGTCATTTTGAGATTAGCAAGAAACGGCGTCACCCATTCTATTGCTTATTCTACGCTATCTACGCTAATCACAGGCAATAACAGAAACTCTGGACTATCATAGGCAACAACTAATATATAGCACATTATAGAAAATCGTAAAAGTTGTTGTAATCTTGAGGGCTCTAGGGCTACCGGCATGCTTTGCGACAATATTTTCAAAACCAGCCTAACATCGTACTGCATGAAAATATAAAACACAATCAACTTCTCAAGACAGCTGCCGCAAAGCATGCCGGTTGCCCAAGAGCCTTTAATCAATCATTGAAACTCTAGCTTTAAATTAGTTCAAGACAGTTATGAAAAAATAATACACGAAGATAAGCATCTTCGTGATGAACATGCTTTGATACCCTAAAATGGAACCATTGACCAAAAAAGAAGCCCACCATTCTAATGTGAGGTTGAAATCGTTTTGAGTATTTGATAGGAAATTCCAATAACCTAACTTTGCGAGATCTAGCATTACTTGTTTTGCTGCATGACCGTTGCTGCATGGCAAAACGACTAAACATTTCACTAAACATTTCACTCAACTTTTGTCTAGCCAAAAGTTTAGTGAAAAGTTTAGTCGTTTTACCACCCCGTTTAGTGTTGTTTTGTCGTGTTGAGTGTTGTTGAGCTAAGTCTGATCCTGTTCAAAAATGTTTATCGTTGTTTAGTGTTGATTAGTAAATGTTTAGTCGTTTTGCCACCAATTAAACACTTGTTATGGTCGCACAGGCGCTCTATCTAGCTATGGAAATCCAACGGTTTTCGTCTGTTTTCGTTGGTTTTCCTGTCTCTACGTGATCCAAAAAGCCTTCATTAGACATATGAATATCTCGTTGTACGCCACCGTGTCTCCTTCAAAAGTCAACTTTGTTGTCAATGTGCTAAAAAGTCTATTCTTTTTTCGTCGCTTCATCCAATTCTTATTTTTATCCACTGTTTGTGCATGCAACAAAATAAACCAAAAGCAAATTCCTATGCAAGATCCCCTACAACCCAACAGCGTCATAGACAGCTCGCAATTCAAAAAAGGTGGAGTGAATCTTAGTGAAAAGTTTGGTCACGTTGGCCACCCTCGCTAAACTTCACTCCACTTCACTAAATAAAAGATTGGTAAAATGTTTAGTGAAATGTTTAGTCGTTTTGCCATAAGTAAAGGTCATATTCTGTGGTTTTGACATGCGTCCAGTACAAGCCACACGTACATCGGAAGTAATTTGCACAGTATCAAAGATATATTACATCGAAACGATATTGCTTTTGACAGCAAACATTATCTCGACAATTAATTCAAGATGGCTGCTTAGAACAGTAAATAGATTAAGTCCATAAAACCACAAATGAGATTCTTTAAGGGAGTTTTTGTTATGCCATGGCGACTATTCGCTAATAGCATTCTTATGATGAAATAATTACATTTCTAAAATCTGTCCACTACAAAATACAAATCAATTGGAATTCAAAACTATTCTGTTGCAAGCATAGAAACGATTGTTTATATATAGTACACATCTTCTGTAGTATACAAAGAAAATTGAATTGAATTGAAATTAATTGAATAGACTAATTTCTTGGCTATTTTCGCCCTAGCTACGTTCAAGTTTAGAACAACTTTAATATGTTAGAAGAAACTAAAGAGAAAAAAGAAATTTGCAAACGGAGTCAATGATGTTCGTGCAAACATCAATCACTTGTTTTCGTGGGCAAAAATCATCAAAAACTTAGCTTCATCTTACACAAAACATTGACTTGACTGCAAGGCATTTGTTAGTGATACTAGAGGAAATACTGTTCTAATACTGTGCGACATAAAATCTAAGTGAGGCAGATGACATCATATGCGGTTGTTTTGCTCGTACAATAAACTCCTTTCAGAATATTTAGCTTCCTTTCAGAATATGTTTCAGGGGAACCTTTCATAATGACGTCATACTTAACGAACATTCAAATCTCAAGGCGTGCTATAACATGATAACATGGTAATCCTCCAGCAATGCACCCAAAAGAACCGTTGCGTAAGCATTTCAGAGTAACATTGGCACTAAACAAACGTGTCTGTCAAGCATGAGAGCAAACAGGAGTTCACAATTAACACTCATATTATCATGCTGGTAGCAAAAAAACCTTGATCGGGACGAGCTAAATGACATAAAATCGCGAACAACTCTTTGGCGGTACAAAATTTGAACATCTAAATGTTTGCTTTTTTCAAAGCCATTAACAGAAAATCCTTAGGCATTAACTTACTTGTGAAAAGGAAACTCGTTTATAGCTGTTATTCTCTTCAATCATATTTTTAATGTCTTAGGAATTCTTTGTCGAGTTCGCATTGCTTAGGGGTAGAATATGGTTCTTTTCGCAAATAACAACTCTTGGAGCGTCCGCTAGCATTTTTCACAGATTATCTGTAGTTTATTGCCATGAATTTCTCAAAAAAGATATTTCAATGATTCCTTTTACAAATTTCACTTTTTCATAGATTATAAAAAGAGTTGAATCACCAAATTAATCCTTATAATTCCGTTCGTCGCTTCCCGAGAAATTTCAACAGAACAAACCATTTCCCACAGAATAGGAATTAGGCAGAAGGGGAACTCCTGCCTATCAGGCGAAGCCTGAAAAAACTTGCGCATGCGTTAACTTATACGAGGCTTAGCATGTATCTGTCGGGGAAATTTAATAAAAAATGAAAGTAGACAACTTTATTTGAGACGAACTGCCCCATGAAAGTGAACAAATTCAATTATGTATCAGAATTCGATTATTTCTAATTAATGAATGATAATTTGTCATGACTAAGTTCGTCTAATGAAATCGAGGTTAAAGGGGAATTAAGGAATTCTATTGTTGACTCAGGCTTCAAAAACAACAAAGGAACCGACGAGAGTTACCCTTTTGCCTATTTCCTATTCTGTGATTTCACCATCTCTTGATTGGTTCTTTGTTTTTGACAGGGGGTTTAAAGGAACAAGAAACATTTTTTTAGGGGCACCTTTCCATAACGTATGAGGAAGCGGCCTTTTCTACACCAAGGACATCGAGGCAATGCTACACATTTATCCTCTATGTTGTTGGAACAAACAAAATGGCCAACTTGGGCAAATGCTCTATAAGAAACAACAGAGAAAAATGCCTTTGCTAACAAGATTTTCAAAAAAATCGAATGTTTTATTTCACATTCCGCTTAAAAACATGATTGATCTGGTACTTACACACATGCAGTTAAAAGCGGGTGCTATCTGAATTAAATGAATCATACCTGGGGCACGAAACCTCAGAACATTGTCGCCAATTTTTACAGCGCTGGCCTCGCATTCTCTTTGAGTGCTAAGTCCGGTGAATCTGATTGTGAAATCGACGTTGTTTGGCAGCGATTGACTGAATACTAATACCACCGATTCATTTTTCTGTAAACAATAAAAAACGTACTCTCACATTCAAGTTAAAGAGTATCTGAAAATTTTTTTAAAAAAAGGTAGCCTTGGCTTCAGTTTTATTGTCAAACTGTGCATGATCTAAAGCTAAAAACCGTTTGCATCCTCACTTACAAACAGTTAACATAAAGTGGGGGTTGATCCAAACCGTTTGATCAGCATTTTGAACACTTAATTTTTTGCCTTTTGTACATTCGCCCTAACAATGAAAATTCTTATCAAAGCAGTCTGGTTTATGCTCAACTATAGCAGCTACCCATTGTTTCTTAGTTATGGAGTTTCTAGTGTGTAAATCTGAATCATGTAACCTTTTGGCATTTCTCGCTTTGTTTAATAGATTCTTCTCCTTACCAAACTCTAAACCAATCACATGTGAATGGACACACCCCATGGGCACATGTGAGCTTTTTCATTCCTTGATTCATATGGGAGTGTCTTCTATTTAGCAATATATTCATTTATTAAGAAAACCATTTTTGGAAAATTCAAGAAATGATAAGCTGCTTGTTGCCTTGACTTATATATTTATCATTTTGAAAACTTCCAATTTTATCAAATGATGGTCAACATACTAAAGAGCACAAAAACATCGATAATATAAGTTATTCCTATGATATAAAGAAAGAAACCTACAAAGGGTTGCAACCAAATAGTGATAAAGGAGAATTGTTTGACAATAAAAAAACAAACTAAAAATCAGCATGATAAACTAAAAAATAGCAGACAAGCAATTAAACAAAATATCAATAGGGCTGAACATTAAAATAAAAATTTCCAAATACTTACATTATATATCACAGATGATGGTGAAATATGTATAATATTAAAATACTTTTGCGTTTCTGGAAGGAAAAGACAAAACAAATACAAACAATGATCAGTGAAAAATAGATAGAAAGGGTTGCTAAGATTCATTAGAATAGATTAGGTTAACAAACACAATGTAAGGTTAACAAATGCAACAAAGGTATAACAGGTAAGGGGAGTGCTGAGGTTGCTTCTATTGGGCAAAATTAAGATCTCCTCATTTGCATTTAATGCTATGCAAAAACCATGATCTATCTATTGAATTCAATGCAATGACACCAGAAAAAGTTCTGCATAGTGACATTAAAGGGCCTAAGCAGCCTTCAAATGCATTTGGGTTTGGAAGTCAAAATTCTAGGAAGTCTCTTCCAGTTCAAAAGACTCATTGTCCTGCAGCATCTTGTGGAGTTTGTCTTGTGGATAAAAATTAATGTTTAGAACTGGAAGAAAAGTGGCCAGACATCTGAAATTGTAGCAGAAAACTTTGACAGGAAAAATATTTTATTTCAAATTGTTTTGTAGGAAAGTGTATTTTGTGATAGCAGAAATTGCAATTAGGACAGAGACAAGAGTAAACAATTTCGAAGCTCCTTTGGAAAGAAATTTATAACATACTTTGTGGGAGGCCTGGTGCCTGGGATTTTCTTGGAGCCGGAGTGGGCCTGTCTCTTTTTTCAGACATCTTCTTCATTGTTTTTCTTTCAGGTTGAATATTCTCAAGTCATATTCGCTGCAAGAGTAAAAAACATAAGAACTTTTATTTTAATACAATGGGGTCAGAAGATGGCCGCGGAGAGGATTTCTGGGCCCCAGGTCAAAACGAAAGAAAAAAGTTAGGCACACCGGAGGCGACTTTTTTAAGGGGTCCGGGGAAAATGTTTGAGATGATGGTTGATTAGGGTTAGGGTTAAGTTTCTAGTGACATATGCTGGGAAAAGAAAGAAAGGGTGACCTTTGACCAGAGTGCACATCAATGTGAATGACAGGAAGCTGTTGAATTGATCAAGAGAATTTTACTTCTTGAACAGAAATATGCAACTTCTTTGTATTAGTATTTTCAGTAAGACATGCTTACAGCTCCAAAATGAAGACATTACAATAATAAAGAAAGTCATCTACTGAATTGATGTTGACTATAGACAAATAATAGAATTATACCTAGTCCAAAATGAAGACATTACAATAATACAGAAAGTCATCTACTGAATTGATGTTGACTATAAACAAATAATAGAATTAAGTTTAGTAAAGAGATCAAACAAACCAAGCAGTACAAAAACAGTTTGTTTTCTTTTTTGTTCTTAACCAAGGGGGTGCTCTCTCCTCGATTAGTTAACCTGTTGAGAGAGTTCCTCCTTTCAGGAATTCCTTGCATACCAATCTCCTTATGAACCTGATAACTTTGTGATCTGATGTAACTAGTTAGTTAAATGTATATATTATTTTAATGGCATTTGTATGTAGTGGAATTTTAAAATGAAAAATGAACTGAACTGAACTGAAATGAACTGAACTGAGCTGAACTTTTTATTTCATACTCTGTTTAAAAATTACAAAAAACAATGGTCAAAAATTTTTTATCTTTTGAAAATAATGAGGCCCCCCTAGCCCCCCCCCCAGTGGCGTGGTGCCTGGTTTCCTATCACCAAGGTCCCAGGGACAATGCCCCTGGCTCCTTAGTCCTCCTGTGTTACTACCATGACATGAATGCTTTACTCTTGGGAATGGGTCAATTTGTTTAAAATAAAGAAACAATTAACGGATGTCACTAAGTTTCTAGGAAAAACGTATCCAGAATTCTTCATTGATAACATAATTATATCTTTCATGATAACAATTTTGTTTTCCTGGCACAGTGTCAAAGAACAACATCAGTAGGCCAGGGGCTGCAGAACATATGCCTATATTACAAGATAAGAAACAAAGATTATTCAACACAGAGAACTCTAGTTTTTTAATGCAGAGCAATGTCCTTAATAGCATTTTGGGTCCTTTGTGAGATTTATCATATTTGTGTTTCCTTTATCATTACCTATCATCTTTTTGAAAAGCTTTTCTGGTATTTTTGCATTTCATTTCATTGAAGTTGGTTGTGATATTCGAAGAATTTTTATTGTTTGTGTGTACATTTTCTGTTTATCACCTAAAAAAATTGATTAACTGCATAACAAGCCATAAAGGTGTGGGAATCTGCTGCTCACAAAAAAGTTTTTTGAAACTTGTGCGAGGTGCGACGAGTCGTGGATTAATCGATTACCATGAAACTTATACAATAACAATTATGAAAACAAAATCATAAATCAAATTAAACAAGCAATTTTAACAAAAAAGATTGAAATGACCATTCACGGACCGATGTGATATTCGTAAAGAAATTATTTAAATGTTGTGATAGGAAGGGAATACTTGACAAGTAAACAATATATAATTTTACTTCCGTGATCGAGCCCACACTTGTAGAGGATCAGAGGACCCTTCATTTCATCAAGATTGCGAAATGCGGTATCAGAAATTTAATATCCTAGATAGATAAAGAGTTTAAAACGTGAAAAGACCGGGGTAACATTTTCGTTTGTAGTAACATCTTCATAGAGATGAAATGGTTTAGAAATCCTTCTGCAATCGTGTCACTGAGTTGAAATATAACACCGCCAAATCCTTCGGCAGCACTTAAAATGTACCTTTGACTGAAACAGAGTTTATAAAAGTAAATTATCCCAGCTATAAATGAATCTTTTCAACTTTCTTTCCATATTCTGTTGCATGTATTCGATGAGGCCCTTGAAAACGAAAGTTCTTTACGTTCAAGAAATTCATACGCGGATTATATTGGATTAAGGAGGAAGTTCCGCGGGTCCAGCGACAAGTCACAACATAAATACTAACCTGTGCTTCTTCCGCGAGTACGTGATATCAAGCAGCCGAATTACTTCAAACTGTATCCTTTAATATTTGCTATAACGCTGCCTTTCTTTGACAACTGTTCGTATATTGCAATTATCCATCTCTCAACTTCCTTACTTGTTTCTTGCCAATAACTAATCACGCGGTAACGCTGCTGCACAGCGGCTGATAAGAAAATGGAAACCGGAAGAAAATTGCCTCAATTAAAGTTACAGAATCAAAGTCGATGATGCAAGAAGAGCTTAGGAACTTAAGGGAAGGGACTTTCGCCATCATGAGGGAAGAGACTTCCTGATAACTTATCAGTCATAAGGGAAGGAAGTTTAATCATAAGGGAAGGGGAGGTGCTCGTGCTGTTTAGGCCTTGTTTTCTGTAATGAAATATCACGAAGTAGTGCCTTACCACTTTAAAGACGAATTCTGACAGCTTATCTCTTTTCAGGGCTAGTTTACTTGTTCTCCGTCAACCTGATAACAAGAAATATCCACAGAAATTCTTCTCTTTCTTGGGTATACGATTCGCATTCCTTTGCAGAAATTCTTCTTCTACCAATATATTTTTGCCCATCAGTTTTCAATCTATTTTTTTGTTTTCATTTCACCTTTGTCTTTCGTAATAGCTTTGCTTAATTTCAAAGCCCATATTTACTTAAACTTTGCTTAATTTTTTTCTTAACGACATAATCAATTATTAAAATCCTGCTGAAGGAGTTAGAAATAAACCTTTTATCGTGAATGTAGCGTTGGATTTCAGATTCCAAGTTTAATTTTTAAATAAGTGTCTAAAGAAAAGGTCATCAGTTCGAAAAAGAATTTGAATTGAAAAAATGAAGAAGAAAAATAGGCTACTACTTGATGCTCTAAAGGAATAGTTTCTTTGAGAGATTTGCGACAAAAAAAGTATTTGCACGGTTTTTAAACAAGATTTTTTAAAGAAATCAACGACAATGATAATATAAACATTGAGCAAAGAGACACAATATTACATGAAAACTTTCAAAGTAACTTGTTGCTTTAGTCTGAAAGGCCATTCATAGAATATGTTAAAACAACAAACAAGTTTGAAAACGGTGACTAATCACAAAGGGCATGATGGGTATGACGTATAACGATGGTATGACGTATTCACACTAAGACCAATTAAAAAAGGGAATTACGATATGTAAATAGGCCAACATAACGGTGCTTTACTATGCACCTGTTAAAATCAGTACCCTGGGTGCCTTAGTCAAAATCAGTACCATTATTTAGTCTCAGAGACATAGATCGAGCCCGCAGCTGTCTACAATACTTTATCCCCGGATTTATGAGGCACTGGTACCAAGGTTAAAAAGTCAGTAAGTGTGAGGTGCCAGCAAATACGGGGGGGGGGGCCATCAAGGAAGTTGGAAGGATTTCAAATTTGGAGAAGCACAGTTAGGGGCAACATGTCGTAAAAAAGGGGCTTTTTCAAATCTCTTAGAATTTTTCGAAAAGTTGGGAAGCACGTGCCCCTGGAGCACCCGAAGTCACTGGGGGCAATTATCACACAGAGATTAATTACAGTTTGATCGTTGATAAGGGTTTGTTATAGTGGATCCAACATTTAAGGTGCTTCGAGCAAGCCTGTGCTTAAATATATTTGCATCTCAGTGTCCATAAAAAGTTTAAACTTTTATCTTCCAGCTAATACATAAGCCAGGCTTAAACAACTGTCTACAAAACAATTAAAAAAGGCGTGACGTGTGGGGTTAGCCAATTTTTTTTCCTTAGCCATATAGCTGCAAACTATCTAGATTCTGTTCAGACTAGACTCAAACAGGAGCAAGCACCGCGCACCATTCTAGTGAGTGGGCTGGAAATGGCGTGGCGGAGAATTTTTTGCGACCATGCCCCTTAGAACTCTGGAAAACGCCACTTTTAGAAAACACTTGCTTTTTCCTCTTATTTTTTCAAACAGTCCAATTCAGAGAAGATATCAATTACCTAAAAAGATAGATTTAACAAGATAAGACAGCATGAAAATGAACAAAAAAGGGTTCCTCGTCAAGAAAAGGCTTGTAAATAGACTGGGATACTTTTTAGGCAGATAAAAGATCGAATTGGATAATCTAACTTGCCATGAGAAAAAATGGGACATCATTTCACTTCTAGCGTCTTCTTATCGTGATAAAAAGGGGTTTAATTTATAGTTACAACATAATTATTACATGTTGAGAATACTATGTCTTTAAAAGAAATGTACCACATAGAATATCAAACAAAAATGCTGCGGAAAAAAACTTTCCAGTGGCATACTTACGAAGATCTAGGTTAAGTATCAGTCTTTTTTTAAAAATTTCAAGGACTTCTTATTTTTCCTAAAGTGAAACATAAAAGGGTATACTTTGCTCAAGATGTAATCAAGAGTATGAAAAAATCTTCTGGCAGATAAGGTGGCTAACATTTCTAGAAAATGTGTTGCTTTTTTCTGAATTGCTTCTGTAAGATTTAGGACAGCTTCGTTCTTGGAGGCCTAGCATGTTTTGAAATGATTGCAAAATGTTGAGAACGCAATATAGCTATTTCAAGACTTCGTTAAAGAGAATCGTGAAAGATCATTAAATGAACAGCAACAGTAGCTCTAGCAGTGATTCATCGCATTCGTTAAAGAATCCTAATACCAATATGATAATTAGGAAAACACATTTCTCTAGAAATCGCTTCTACAACTCCTTGCGTCTATTTAAAGGCAGTCTGTCCCCTCAATGATTGGCTAATATGAACAATAAGTCTTCCCGCCTTGACGGATTTGGCTGGCCTAGCTGCGGTAGTGGACGGCATTTGAAACTGCGCGCAAAAAGCTATCGGGAATGGCAATAAAATTTAATTACTGGAATTGAATGATGATAACGGAAGCATTTCCTTTCGCTGTTGACATATCTGTCACAAAAACAAAACAGGGAACAAAGTTTTTCTAGCCACAGCTTCACTTCAACGGGAACACAGCCATTTGATTCAAAGCTCTAGAATCAAAGTTGTCTCTGATTGGTTTAAATCGTTTAATTATCGATCAAGCTCAACGGTGCGTGAATTTCACTCCCGTGAAAATAAAGTTGAGCACAATAGGGGACAGACTGCCTTTAAACAGGGAAATTTACTAGGTTAATAATCATGATAAATCAACTGGTTTGAATTACAAAAGGAAGTAGAAAATCTTAAAAATATAGTTAAATCAGCCGGTTATAGCAGAGGTTTACTCAACATCCTATTTGAAAATGTTTTGTCTGTAGTCCACATGGAGAGAGATTTTGAACTTGGATGAAACTTTCAAAATCATTAATTCCCTTACTAAAAACTAATTAACGCTGGACTCAATCATTTTAGATTAGGTTGATTGCTTGATTACCTTGATGGATGGTAAAAAATTTGTGCTTATCTTTCTGCTTTTTTTTAAAAGGAAATTCACATTAAGCCACAGAATAATTTGGCAAGCAAAACCCCATAAAAATATATGCATAACAAGTTTTGTCTTGATTTATAACAAAACCAGATTAATTACAAAAAGTGGAATCAATGAAATCGAAAAAACCTGAATATATGAAGAATAAAGACAGTAGCTTAATAAAATTAAGCAACGCTGACTGCAGATTTAAAATGCAGGGTCCAGAAAAAAGTGAAACAACGTTAATGCTATCCTTTATTGAGAATAATTCCTTTATCGACCGCCCAGAGAGAATTCTGTCGTTGATGTGTGTGACGGTTCCTTGTTAGGCCAAAGCGTCCGTATTTCTCTATTGATTATTTGCAGCCTTACTCCTCAATGCTAGGCCGGCTAAGGAATATATAAGACGTTGTAACTGTGATTGTCAATAAGAAAACCAACAAGAAAAAGCGATCTGCGACTTTTGCAACAGCTTGCCACTCCTCTGTCATTCCGTCTAGTTTTTCTTGCTTTCGTGCACGATCTCCAAGAATAGCAAGGCCTTCGACCAGTTTTTCTGGTATACAGTTTGCCTTTGTTTTGGCTTCTTCATGATCATTCACGTGTCGATTGGAATTCCAGGTTAACGTTTGACTAGACATGTGATTCTTATCGGAATATCCTTTCTGTGGCAAGCAGAGTATCTCGGTTTTAGCATCTCTTCTAACAGCCACTGTCTCGACTTCCTTGCCCAAGGAAAATTCAATATTTGGCCTTCCTTTTGGAGGGTCTACTCGTAAAAATGGGGCAAGCACCTCTATCAAGATGTGTCGTAACCAATCAGGTACTGTGTCTACAGAACGACTGCATTCATAGAGGTTCAGAACAATACAAGTTGCTATGAGTGACAAGCCAATTATCACCATGGAGGCAATAAAGAATTTCCCTATTAGTGGAGTAACTTCAGAAGTCGTTGGTGTGTTTTCTGCTATCATTAACATAAAAACAGTCATTGCTAGCAAGGTAGTTATAACGAGTGTCACTCTCTCTCCGGTGGCTGGCGGTAAAACGAATGTCAGCAAACCAAGGGCAGTTATAAGAAAACAAGGGACGATGAGATTGTTGAAGTAAAACAGTGTTTTCCTTCGTATATGAATTGTAAATAATATGTATGGGTACGGCTCTGGACAGCAACTATGGATAAAAACAACTGAATTAAAAAAATATCTCCATTTGGAACATCGACATTAATTCAAGGGTCAAAATACCAAGTGAAATAGGGGCATGTATGAAATTATAGTTTTGAAATTGAAAAATAATTGAAATTATATGGGCAGTATAGGCGTTGGGTAAAAATAAAGAGCATAAGGAAACAGATACAAAAATGATTGATCAGAGACAAACCTAAGCTAGGAAAGTTAAACATTTCAATAAACAAATCCATTAATATTTTCCAAGCCACTCAATTATCTGCAATTTCCTCTTTTTCATGTGTTGTTGAAACTACAACCTATTCTACTAATCAAAATAGAAGAAGAAGGGTACACAATTTTTTTATAAGAATACTAAATTTTTTGCCGAGCCTCAAAATTCTTAAATATTTATGATTTTGAGCCTAAGGTTATTGTTAAATTATTCTTATCGCGTTGGTTTGATTTGATTTGATTTGCTTTGTTTTGACTTGATTGACTTGCCTTGACTTTATTGATTTGAGTTGATTTTATTGATTTGAGTTGATTTGATTGATTTGATTTGAGGAGATCATCATGTTCTATCAAAATTTCTTTGAGTCAGTCTGCAGTCAAAGTTGACTACGCCTCTAAAATTGAAAGTATATCTGGTCCCAAGCCTGTAGTTCTGAAAGCAAATAACTTTGGATGATAGTGTCTTGTGTTAATGTTTTTGCTGATTCGAGTTGATTTGATTGATTGATTGATTGATTGTAATGATATGTAATGATTGATTGATTGATTGGTGGTCACGCCTATTTGGCTACATCATCAAACATCTAGTCATGTGTCTGGTTCTACACGTTTACCGTAAATCCTCGAATTAGCCCCCCCTGGGGGCTCATTTACTTTGATTATTTTGGATGGGGGCTTTTTCGGTGGGGGGGGGGGAGAGCTTATAAGAGTAGGAGGGGGGCTTATAAAATTATTGTAGACATCAAGAAGACCTTATTAAAAGACCTCGTTCATTCTAGTAGGAATTTCTTTATGAGTATTTAATTGATTATTACCAAAAGTATGAATTTTTGCGGTAATTCAATTAAACGCCAAAGGCAACTCCAGATGTCAAAAATCATCAAACTGAGGGGTTCCTATTCGAGAACTTACGGTAGCAGTGGGGGCGCATTCGAAGAGAGGGGGGATTATTGACAATTTGTAGTTCTAGGGTGGGGGCTTATTTTAGGGGGAGACCTTTTTGAGGGGGGCCAATTCAAGGATTAACGGTATATACATCATAATAGTTTGACGAGAAGAAATCATAAAGGAATCGAATTTGTTTCAATACCTGTATTTTTCCACACCTCTTGATGACGTTGCATCAATAAGCTCGAATTCTCCGCTTGACAAGTAGGACTTGATATCGGCTTTGGAGCTTTTATTTTGCAAGTCTACCCTTAAGCCATCGTATGTCCAGCTTACAAACTTGATGACACATTTTTGATCATCAAACGGAAAGAACTCTATGTCAATTGCACAACGGCTTCGAAGTATAGTTGGCGAATACCAAGTATTGCTCCCATCATGACCGAGAATGACCTTCGTCTTGAATTGATCCATCTGTCCGCTTGCAAGAGTCTCATCGGCACTTGGTAATGAGAAATAAAACAACCTACCCATTACACAGTGCAGAAGAAACAGGGGTCTTACTTATGGGAGCAGGGAAATTTCTTTGGGCTTTTGGGATCACATTAGGGGGTACCAAGTAATTAATATAGAGGAAAGCATCGCTTCATATTTTAGAAATTCCTATAAACTATTTTTTGGTTTTCGAGTTAAATTCAAAACTTGGAAGGCTGACAAGACAAGTTGAAGGCGAAAGAAGATTTGCGGGACAAGATATAGCAGGGTTTTGAAACCACTAACATAGTCATATCAATTGCAAACTCCACACTCAACATTAAAGTTGATTAAAAAATAAACTATATGCTGATCAAAGATGAAATTTTGTCATTTTAGGTCACAGAAAAAGGTCGAAATAAACAGGGAATTGTGTCTCTTTAGTTCACAGAAATGGGTCAGGATATACAAAAATGGCTTAGAGTTGCAAAATTAGCGTAAAGTAAAGGACCATTGAATAGAAATTATCGATGCCAAATGAATAAGCATGCCAAAAATTGCAGGTAAATGAATATCCAAAAATATATCTTTAACTCATGAAATGATTGTTTAAATGATTAGGAAAAGGTCTGATTGTAGGCGCACCATTTCTGTAAAAATACTTGATTGAGTGCAAAAAATACCAGTTAATACTATAAGTTAGAATTACAAAATGACAGATGCTTTCGAAGAAAGAAAGAGCGATTTACAAGACGACATTTTGAGCATAGACCGTTATCAAACCAACAAAACGATAACGTTATCAGGATAACCACCTGTCGTTGGAACGGCTTTATCACCAAACTTTTCGGTCATGTACATTTTTTCAATTTGTTTGTGCTTGTACTTTAGATTTTACGAAGAAATGAAGTTTTAAAATTTGCAAGGGATTTGAACGCAAAAATCTTCGGGTAAAGCTTTACCATTTACGGTCAAATTCCTTATAAATTTTTATCTTTATATCGTCATAAATTTAATATTAGGAGCAAAAACATAATGAAAACTTCCAAATAGACTAACATTCTTGCTCTCAACCCGAATCTGGGGTCAAAAATTTTGTACAAAAAAATGAAGAATTTTAAAAAATGAGGCTGCAAGTTGAATTGGTGTATTCGCTCTTTCATTTAAATCTAAGTACAATTTCATCATAAATTTCAAGTTATATGGCACTGAAAATATACCCGGCTACTAGTGCATGTGACTTTTAATGAGGTTCGCATTTGAGCTTCATGATAGGGTACATATTACAAAGTTCCAAAGTGTGACACAATAAATAATACGTTTGAAGTGATTTTGAAATTTTATAAAATAGCCCGAAAGGAAACCACGTAAGCCTCTTAAAGTGCAAAATCAGTTATTGCAATGCATTGAGATAAAGCAAATGCTTTCACGAGGATGCCTCAGTCAATTGTTAATACATTTAACTGATTTCACACATTGAGAAGTAATCCACAATGTTCTTTCACATTCTCTGGCCCAAATTTACAAGCTCTAGATATAGGGTCTTCTGACGTCATGAATTTGATACACACTATTGCAATTATTCAAAATATCAAAAAAATCAAAATACCCTACTTGTTAAACAGGACAATATCTGGCAACCAGACTTTAACTGGATCCACATTGACTGATTTGATTCCGCCAAACTTCGATGCATTCCACGTGAGTAAATGATTGTCCCAAAACTAAAGAAAAAAATACGAAGTCAAAGAAAGAACAAAATTTCAAGCTGCAAAAGTTTTGCAAAGACTTTAAGTAGAGATCAATATTTCATATCATATCATTACTGCCCTCAGGTTTTCAAAGAAAGTCCAGGCTAAATTTCGCTTTGGTTGTAGAACAAGGCAGGTTTATGAAGAAACTCGGTGTTTCACGCTCAATGCGTTCATCTGGCAACTGTTCAACTTCTCTGTCGCCCTCTAGGGCAGATATCATTATATTTAGTTGTTAAATCTTTGAAGATCGACATCGATTAAAGAAATAGCAATTCAAATTCCACAACCTTTGAAACTTTGAGTTGCATTTTGAATAAATGATATCAAACACATGTTTCTAGATTCACCAAGGATCGAAGTGGTTCTTGGCAGATCTAAACTGTTCTTGTTTATGTTAAGAAACTCGAAATCCATTTCTACAAAAACAGTCTTCGTGTTGCCATAAATAACAAACACTGCAAATACGATTTCTCTTAAATAAAATTTCATACATTTGGTTAAAGATTGCCTCATTTCTTAGAAATTTGTTTGTTTGCTGTCATTCTACTGCCAAGAAATCAAATTATTTTCTTTACAACTCACGAACCACACTTTTCTATAAAAGATTCAATTGTAGCTACTGAAAATTTATAGCGGTTATATTATACTTGTAAAGAGAACAGAAGACAGCTGGAAATCAAAAAAATGATTCTGTAAAGACAGAATTTTGTCTACCTTAGAATAGATTACTTTAATTGAAGGTAGCACGGAAAAATGAAAACATTGAATACTAAAGTATACTCTGTCCAAAACTTTTCAAAGCATTAACGGCTCTTGCAAAACCGGCATGCTTTGCAACTATGCTTTCAAAACCGGCCTAATATCGTACTGCATGACAATACAAAACAATCAGTTTCTCAAGACAGCGACCGCTAAGCATGTCGGTTGCGCAAGAGCCCTTAATATCGGATAAAGGTAATCGGAATTTATACCCTGGTGCGGGTCGAATGTAACGGGAGAGGAATAGAAGCCTCTAGGCTAGTTGCAGATAATTTTATAATCGACCCCAAACTAACTTTACAAAATTACTTGAATATATCACCAAGTTATAGGTCCGAAACCATATTGGTGATCCATGAATCATGATGGGAATTCGGACTATGAGGGTTAAAAAGTCCCTTAAAATTGAAAAAGCAAGAGTAAATGAACAGAAATATTTTATGGATTCATTTCAGCTACAATCGTAATATGTGCATTCTGCAGTGTTTCAAAGAGATTAAATAAACTTTTATATCTTATTGTGTCAAAAATGAGCTTGGTTATGCAGATAATCTGATAAGAGGAGCCCCCATTTGTGGTTTGTGAAATAGCATTCAGAGCGTTTATCGTGCAACAAAATCTACACAAACAGACACGTTTGAAAGTGGATACTTTTACGCAATGGGCAGCGAAATTTCCTCCTTCTGTTTATAGTCCCGTGTTTTTATATGTCATTCCAGGGGCCATTAAAATCTTTCTATACAACTGGTGTCAAACATTATACACAGTAGAACGAATTCCCTTCTATAGAGAAATTGAAACTGCACCTTTTCTTGTCATTAAACGTAGACATAAATAAACATACAATTGACATACCAATCGAAGCCATGTGTTGCTGATAAGAATTTGGTCCTTTTCAACCTAGAAAAACAAAAAAATGATACCTTGACTTTAATGTAACAACTTAGAATTGGTCTCTTAATGTTTATGGACCAAGGATGGTGATATTATTATCGAGAAACGATGGTTACATTGAAATGACTAGTAACATATCAGAAATGATCATCTTCAGTTTTAATGCAGTTCACTTTTAAAGGAGTAAAAAATGCATGAAGCGAAACCAAAGGCAATGGTAGCCGAATATCAAACGCCCCTTACTCTCTAAACATGGGTTAACCTTGTTTTGTTTTGCTATATTCTTCTTTTGATTTGTGTTTCACCCCGATGTTTTTAATGATGGCAGATGTCGTTTAATAACTAACTGATCAGGTATACTTGATTTGTTGCATTTCTTCAACATATTTTGGAAGAGCTGGTTGTTTTCTTGGTTCAATCTTCCAACATTTAAAGTTAAAAATGACAGCGAAAATGCATTAATGAGTGAATGTCGTTAATGTGCTCCTTCTCAGCGGCGCCTGATCTCTGCTGCAGATGAATATATTCAAACTTTTATGAAATCAAGATAAGAAGGATACAAGACTGAGATACAGCTGGTTCGCATAATTGCATTAATCGAGAACTTTATTTATAATCCCACAGTTTTCTGCATTTGAACTTGCACACTACTTCAACGAGCAGATTCGAGGAAATTAAGGACTAAAAAATATAAAATATTTATACTATACCCTTTTGAAAAAACTCATTGCAAATTAGATTGTGTTGTTTTATTCAAGTGAGCATTGTAATAAGAAATCAGATTTTTATTATACTTAATGACTCATCAATAATTCCAGAAATTCAGCCATTACGAATGCTGTGGACAGAAGTTCTTAAAAAAGCAAACTCAGTACGAAGAGGACATTTAGAGTTGAGTCAAGAGTCTCAGCAGCAGAGGTAAAAAACGGGGGTTGGCAAAAGCTGTGTGCTATTAGCCTGTGTCCAAGACCTCTAACCTGAAAGGGTCTGATGCTTTGAGCAACGAGAGAGATGATTGGGTAAAGATAAGGGATTTTGAAAGAGCTTTAGCAAGCTTTGCGAATTCTTTGTATCTATTATTCAAAACGATTTGATCATTAATCATAGCGGGCAGTATCATAAGCAAGAGAGATTGCGGGTCGAGAACTCATTCCCTCACTTTCAATAATCGTGGCTTTCGATAATTATCCAAAGAACTAAGAAAGAGATGGTATAGGTCATAAAGCTGTTAAACATAAGGTCTAAATCCAAAGTGTTGAAAGATTGGTGGCCAAAGCCCCCCTTATTATTCCGGGGTAGGGTACGGTGCCTTTCCTTTGAAGAAATTCAACTCTACCCACCAAGTCAATCAACTGTGTGTAGGCCAGGTCTATTTTGACTTCAACAGGCAGTGACTTATTTTTGACAGGACGAACTTCTTTATTGTAATTGCCGTTAAAAAGATGATTAAGTAGATTCAACTCATCATCGTCAATTTTTTCTGTTTCTGGAGTTGAATGCTTCGTTTCGGAAGAGGCTGTAACAAAAAAATAATGACGTCATTAATGTAATGCCAAGCAAAGAGAAATACTATTACTAATGGCGGTGCCACGAGATGACAAGTCCAACTGGGAAAGTCGTTTTTTATATCGTCCAAATTCAATGAGAACATTTAGGAACAGTACTCTTTTGACGCAGTTTTATGACTTTAACACTGTCTTAACGTAACCAAGAGCTGGAACCCCCCCCCCCCAATAATTGACAAACTGCAGTTTATTTCGTTTACAATAGTGTTCTGATTGGGAAGCAATACAATGGGCAGCCCTCTCCCCAAATATGAATTTCGTTCTTACGGCACTGTCCAAAATGGTTGCAAGTTTCCATAAGAGCTGGATGTTTTAATGATAACATTTGATAATAGGCTGAGGGTCGTTTTCCAGTTTGAAATTTAATCCAGTTTAGACAAATCATAACACTCCAAGTTACAAAAATGATTTGATACGACGTAAATAAATCTTGTGCTTCGATAAGCATTTTCCAAAACATCAAAGTCAAAGAGAAAAAACAAAAAGTAAGATTGCGTTTGACATATGTATTTAATTCGCCAAAAGAGACTGGGATTAAGGATCATTCTTTATTTGGAAGGCAGCTCGAAGTTCTGGGCCATCTAAAAAAATCTTTAAACAAAGATAATACAAATAATTCATTATTATTATCCTCGCAAAATATTCTCGCTATCTGCCATCTTCCGTTCAGAAATTAAGTGGTTGAACAACGTTTATTGAAGATGCTTTCTATTCATAAGAGGTCGGAGAAAATTTTCAATCTGTTTTTTCAGTCACACAGCTTTTCGTCAGAGGAAAAGACATTGTTAGGCCTTACAAGGATATTTGTTGCCTCAATAAGCAACGTCAAAGCTAATCAAGCCTATTCGTCAGAATCTTGGTTTGGCTTGCTTGCTTTACCAAACGAAGGCCTCAATGCCAATCCTCGTTTGAACATTTTAAGCATGGGACTGACTCCTTCAGTTTGTCCAAGATCTTCATTGAATAATTGATTGAAGAGATTCATTGAAGTAAGATGTACAGCAAACTCAAAATGTGGATTGACAGCAGTGTCTTAATTGGATAGCTGAGGTTTTCTTAATTAACGATGTGCAGTAAGACGATCTCGCCTAAATGCATCAGTTTGATGTCTTTCAAACTAAAATTCAAGTCCTATATGCATCCTTAAGAGGATTTTTAACCTAAAGAAGGGAGTTAAGAGCAAACCGTTTGAAAGGTAATCAAAATCTAAAAGGAATTATCGAAATGCAACAGGCTTTCAATTTACATTTGTTCTGATTGAAACAACTAAAACATCTGGAAAACCAACAGATTATGATGCATTGTATGCATTTAGGAAGTTACTGCATATGTAATTGTCTAAGTATGTAAGAGAAAATCCAAGGGCTTACTGGTTAGGCAAAAAAACCTCCAGATGAATAGGATAATGAGTGGTGGAATTACTTGCATCTTGACAGAAATCAATTTCTCACGTGATGATCAGCAGCTAAAAAAACAAGATTGAGCAAATTAATACATAAATACTTGAACATTATGAAGGTAGAAGATAGCTGCAGGCTTATAAGCGAATAAGGAAGGTAGAAGATAGCTGTAGGCTTATAAGCGAATAAGGAAGTTAGAAGATAGCTGCAGGCTTATAAGCGAATACAGAAGTTAGAAGATAGCTACAGGCTTATAAGCGAATAAAGAAGGTAGAAGATAGCTGCAGGCTTATCAGTATCCTAATGGAAGGTCATTAATTGCTCAAATTAACCATGCAATAAATCAGAACCTAGGGTTAAAAAAGGATGAACCATTTGATTTTGACAATTTTGATTCACATTCTTTTAAAAGCCAATGCGAGGGTGCATCAATAAACTTCCAGTTACTACAGAGTAACGAACCAAGATTTTTTCCTAATGAACAGCGAAATTATGTTTTTTTATCAACTTAAAACAACTACAACTCTAATATTTACATTCAACTGTGCCCCTCATAGCGGGAAAAGACCCAAGGTCATCATGTTCCCACTATGAGGGACACTTGCAATAAACAATCCCTTACAAAGAATATATACAACAAAACTAAAAAAGGGGGTGGGGGTAGCTGCTGTTTGGGGCTTCACTTAAAGCGTTGAGTAGTCTTAATGTATAATATAGTGGCATTCATGATCATTCTATTGCTAATTATATTCAATCGTGAACTGCCATATAAAAGGAGATCGCACAAGGCTGTTGTATCCATATCATTAATGTCCAGGGCAGGGATTTCTGAAAGCTGACCAAAGAGATCTGCACGCATCAAATCAAACTGTGGGCAGTGCAGGAGATAGTGTTCATTGTCCTCTTTTCCAGTTCCACAACTACAAATCGGGTTTAGGCAGTCAAACTTATGCCGGAATCTATGTTCGTTTAATGCACTAAAATTCAATCGAAGTTTTGTTAAAGATCTAACACCGTCAATGTCATGGATGTTATAAATAGAGTTTCCTAATGGTCGTATGGTTGCAAGAAGTTTACGTTTGAATTCATCAATGCTTACAGAATGTTTTATATCATCACAAAGAGGATTCCATTCAAAAAGAGTATTTTGGAAATACGTATTCGAAAAAATTACCGAAATTATGTTAATCTTCTACTTAAAACGTTTACAATTAAGGATTTAAAATAATTTTGAAATATGCCCTAATTACTTTAGTTATGCAGAAATGAAGGTAGTTTTGCAGATGAGAAGGTAATTATGCAGAGGGAAAGAAAATCATTCAAAATAAATGGTAATTCTGCAGAAGAGAAGGTAATTATGCAAAAGAGAAGGTAATTATGCAGAAGAGAAGGTAATTATGCAAAAGAGAAGGTAATTTTGCAGAAGGAAAAATAATTATGCAGAACAGAAAGACGTTATGCAGAAGGGAAAGTAATTATGCAGAAGAGAAAGTAATTATGCAGAAGAGAAGGTAATTATGCAGAAGAGAAGGTAATTATGCAAAAGAGAAGGTAATTTTGCAGAAGGAAAAATAATTATGCAGAACATAAAGACGATATGCAGAAGGGAAAGTAATTATGCAGAAGAGAAGGTAATTTTGCAAAATAGAAGATAAATATGCAGAAATATTCAAGCGGTCTACAAGGCATCGATCACAGATACAAATTGTTTATGACGGTTATACGTCATTTAAAATATTTAAAAATAACAAAGAAAGGAGCCTTTTGTCTTAGAGATATAGACTCTTTGTTTGTCTTACAATTTTCGGTAATCATTCAATTTTTAGAGGTATGTATACTTGATTCACGATAAGTTTGAGTGTATTAGGACAGTGTGAGCAGCATAGAAGAGCGCCAAAAGGCAAAAATTTCTCGAAATTGGTGACAGGGGTGGGAGAAACCATTTGCTTTTAGAAGCTATAACGCAAGATATAAAGTCTAGGCGAATCAGTCTTCGATACAGAATACTGGTGAAGTAAACTTTCACCCATTAGTTGAAGTACAATTTATTTGATATATTTGAGTTTACGGTTGTTTATGCAATACGAACAAAAGCAGCATGTAAAAAATAGTTGTTTATAGAGTCCTTGTTGATTCTGCAGAATCCTTAGCGCTTAACAAGATCATTCGGACCAACTTTATTACCGATATATACCATTGTTGAATTTATGGCAAATAATAAACAAAAACAAATTGATATTGAGAACTGATTGCCAACGAGAGAGATGAAAAATTATTTTTAACTTCCTTTTGATTTGGTTGATTAATTTAAGATAATAACGATTATATGTGTAATAAAATATTGTCAAAACAAACGTTTGACAAGATAAATGGGAAAATTCAATCAGCCTATAATCTGGTACGTTAATAAAATAGCAACTGTTACGTGTTAGGTAGCCAAATACAGCGCCATGTTACAATTGTAGACAAATTACCGCTATACTTCTTAGTTTTGATCACATCGCTACCATGACATTTTATCAAGCATACCAAAAATATAAACAGAGAAGAAAATCTTAAAAACTATTACTCGCAAAACGATGGATATTTATTCCAAAAACCACTCGGAGAAATCGACATACAAAATTTCAAAGCTCTAATTTTTTAGTCAGTCCCTAATATGAGTATAGATCAGAAGCATCGAATTAAAACTAAAATAACACTTTTATTACGGAAGATGCAATAGATGCTTTCAATTATATATCATTTTTATTCTAAGGTTTAATATGATTTTTTCAAATGTGTACTGAAATTAAGTTTCATTAAACAAAACATAAGAAGGATTTTTTTGCAAAAAAAGCAAGACCTGCAGTCTAGTTAGATGTCCTTCCGCGAATAACAATATTTTGCCTTTCATGTTGGCATACAATCCGAACAATCAACATATTGCAAGTACATGCAAACAAACCGTTTCATTATAGGACTCAAGGCTGCAATCAACGTAATAGGAGGCGACATTATTTTTCAAGTTGAAGTATGTTTATAATGGCGCATAAATGTGGTCACGAACTTTGTTGAGAAAGATATTTAGCATTCAAGACAATATTCAAAACTTTATTCAGCGGAATACGATCTCGCGAGAACGGTTTCTCTATAACATTAAATTTCATTATCAGTGATTTAATTCTACTTTAATATATAACTGAAAAAAAATTATTAATTAGAGTTCAAACATGTTACCTTCAAAACAACAGGAGCAAAGAACTTTCAAAACATCCCCGACTACAAGCTGAAATATTTTGAATCAGTAAACGCAGGTGGCATGAAAGGATTAACTATAATGTATTTGAGGGCGATAAATAATCCGAGGATGGTTTAGAAAGCACAGAATTTTGTGGAATTTATTCTACACACCAAAAACTGGAAATATATTTTAAATACTGAAAAATAAATGTCGAACTTTCTTGTATCTTAATCTGCAATAAGCAAATATTGAATAGGAAAATATTGAAATTAATCGTACAATTTGAAACCTGTAAAAAAGTGTAATATATATATATATATTGAGCATTAGCAACGATATGCAAGAAATTGATAAATTGATGATAATTGCCAACTTTAAGCAACTGGCAAATCGCGAGGTTTCTATTTTTATACAAAAGCAAGCACCGAATTTAAAAATGAAGATCGAAACTGAGTACCGCTATCTATGTATAGTTTTGAATCAATGTTGATTGATGCACATACATATCTTTTGTTCATCAATATTTAGGGAAGAATATCAAATACCATTCACCCTGAAATTACTAAGAATCCTGAATCTGAAAATATTAAGAAACATCAAATTGACAGCTTTTCCTTTCTTGTCTAAAAAATTTGGCCTTGCTTGCAACGTTTGAGATTTTCCAAAAACTGTTAAAGTCCTTGACAGCTACATATAAAATTTATCTACTCAAATAACTTGCACTTTGGTTATAATATGTAAACTCCGAAAAGATCAAAGATTTATTTAGCTAACCTTCTTGTGTTTACGGAATTTCTTAGAATCAAAAATCCCCGGGAATCTTAAAGAGCATTGCCTTCTGACCAGCATTATGGACCAAGTTTACCACCATAATACACTTTTTAGCCAAGAACATCATCTACTTACAGATGGCCCTTTGATTCCTATCTTCATCTTTAAGATGTGAGCCCAGAATATTGCGACTCTTAAAAAATAGCTTATAAAGAGCTGCCTTAATATTTCGCCTCAAAATAAACACCTAATTATATGTCTGCCAAAACTTTTGCTTTGATAATCACATTGTATCTAATAGTTTTCCAATGTAAATCACTTGAAACCAAAAAGAAAAAGCTGCGCCAATAATTAGATTAAAAACAAGACTTCGAAGAGAGTTATCGAAATATAAGTCTTTTATAAGGAACCAGCATGTCGAATGCAGAAAACATTAAATAATCGTTAGTGCGTAAGACAAAATTCCTAAGGAACTTTGTTCTTTGAATATCTTTATCATTGCAAACAATCAATAATATAGAAGCCAGTTACATTCATCAGGAGTTGAGAATCACACAAATTGTGTCACGAAAGTAGCTATCGACTATTTCCTTGCGTAATTTCGACCAATTCGTTTTTCTACTTGATTGAAATTCCACTTTTCATATGTCAAACGTCGAAGGAATTATTAAGCAACATTTAGTATACAATTCAATAAAAATAGATTCAAAAATAAGGAACTTTGAGAACTAGGAGCTAAATTCATTATAATAGAGCGTGTATAAACATAAAATTGGAGATTGAACAGCACGTACGTCTAACATATTTATTGCCATTGCATCAAACTGGTGTTGAAGATGCTATGCCAAATCCCATATGTCAAAACTCACATCATTGTCCCTTCGTTTCAACCGACAATCATAAATTTGATAGGACGATCATCATAAAAATGGGTTGATACAATCTGCCTCAAAATGAAAATATTTAGATCTAGGTAAGTAATTGAAGAGTTGCTGCTTCCCAGATGAATCTGTCATTACAGTAAGAAGAAGAACACGATTTCAGGTATTGAATAAATTATATATGAATACATTGTTTGGCTTGCGCATTCATTTGTCCAGCTTTCGTTTCATTAAACACTTGAAACAAACCGCTAACATTTGCGCTTTGCATTGTTTGAACTTATTGAAAAATTATTCCAAGAATAAAGCAAAAATCTCCAGTATCTCAAATCTAAGTACCTGCTCTCCAATCAGCTTGTTACACAGACAAAAATATTGTATAAACATTATCACGCGTAAGATACAGTCAAGGGCTGTTTGAAGATCATCAACCCATTCTCTAGACATAAAACATCGACCAACGCTGATATAAACCAATAGAAAGTGGATGGTAGCCGTTTGTCGTTATACAAAGATGCAACAGCTATGCAGGTCTTAATTACACAGTTGATGAGGCGGTTTCTCTCAATCGCACACTGGTAGGTTTATTTTGAATTTGCTGCAAATAATATTTTGAATTTGATAAATAGCTCTAAGGAGCCATAGTAATTTTCATCACAATATTTACTTAATTAGAGAACTCAATACTTTTAAACATGTGATCACATGCAAATGGCAGTTGAGAGAACGTTAAGATAGCAGTTAAAACCTGCTATGTGTTTCTGTATATTCTGTATTATCAGCAACATCTGGATGCTATTGTTAAATGAAAAATACAATTTGTTTGGTGATAATAGACCTTAAGTAATGTAAAGAAGTTAATATGAAGAGGTCGAGCACGCCATTAAGAACGGAGCCATTTGAGATGTGATGAAACAAATAGGTGGGGTTGTAATTAGATGGGAATTGTTGCTGAATGGTGCAGATTAATCAATTGGTTGCTTTTGCAAAGAAATGACAATGACGGGTGGGAAGATAGAGAAAGGCAACTTGATTTGATATTCTTTTCTCATACATCAATGAAGAAAAAACACTTTCTATTAAACCTTTGACTTATTTCATAACATTCCATAATGATTTTCAATCCATCGTTCATCAAAAAAATCAAAAAACTAATCCTAGACAGCTAATTTAGAGAAACTATGAATAGGAGATAGTCAAAGTTTATAGAAAAATATGATTTCAAAACTGAATGAATAAATTACGAATTTATCCGAATGAATAAATGACGAATTGACAATAGTTTTTTAGGGATATGGAATAGTACATGATCGTTACGGAGACAAGATAGATTTCGTGATAGATTTCACTAGTCCTTGCATCCACTAGCGAGGCCATCATTGAAAGCGAGGCCATCATTGTTTTGGAGAAGCTGGATGGGTGAAATTGTAAATGTGACTGTGAATGGACAACAAGGGAACAGCTTAGCTGCTGGAAATCCAAACCTTAGTAATTATTATGGGTGAACCCAGCAAGTTAGCAATGATTTAGAAGTAATCACACCTTATTCTAAGTAGCTTTTCTTATGCAAAAAGCCTTCATAAGAAAAAAAAAGAACGGTGCCCAAAAAAAGTGCCCAAAAAAGAACGGAACTCTTGGTAGTGTAAACGGGGTCTAAGACAAGACTTGAATTAAATGGAATACATAATAATACATATAGACAGGTGCAATACATAAGGTGAAGTCAAACTTTAACATGGTGAAAAACGCAAATATGTCATGATAGACAGTAGGTTAATTTTGAAAAACCGCCTATTAATTGTTCGTAAAGAAGACACTTTGGCAGCAAAAGTAACTTCGAAGAGAAGGAATGAGGAATTTCAAGATATCGATTTAGTTCGAAGAAAACCTTGAAACTCGCTTGCAAGTCAAAGAAATGACACCTCTGTCACTGAATATCACAGCAATACGTTTGATCGTAGAAATAGGTCGTAAAATATAAGACGTCCAAAGAAAATTCCATAACTACAATGTTTAATGTAAAAGGTTTTCATATTCCTTCAAATTCTGTGCAGAACACCCTGACGAAGCCTCAGAAATCTAGAAAGGCTGCAAAAAATTACATTTCAGGTGCAGTAATTAACAAAAAACAGATTGAAACTACTTAATATAGTAAACAGGTGTTTACATCCACAGTACATTTGTAGACAAATAATCAAGGTAATAGGCATTGTATATTCTGCGTCATTTCGTCGTTTCTCGAATTTTCTCTCTGTATATTTATCTCTCTTGTCATAAAGGAGTTACTTTTAAACCTTCTTTATGCAAAAGATGAAATTCTTAAGATTAGAATTCAAGATGAAAATGGAAGTGCATAAGTATATCACCTGAAAACTGTAGTACGCTTTTGACTCAGAGAAATTATGTTTCCACAGAGTGAAGCACCGCAGACGCAACTCGTCGAAAACGCTAACCCAAGAATCGGCATCAACAAAAACAAGCAGACAAAAGAAAAATCAGCAGCCGAATAGACAAATATCAAAGGTTTGTGATCCTTAGGCCATTTACGATATGTAAACAATGCACATGTTATTGCATTGGATAAAGATATAAGTTTTAAAATAGGCTAGGCTGATTATAAAGGCTGATGCCAGATTGACGCAGATTTTGCGAGCTAATGCGCGTACAGAGCATCAAAGACAATGAGAGTCACATTTTATTGATGAGCTAATTTCCCTTTGGATATAGAATAGATGTGTGTTCAATAAATAAGTAATGTCAATGGTCCTTAAAAGCAGAAAAATAGTATTGGAATTTTTGTTATGTAAATAAATGGCCAATTGACCAGGATGGTTCGGCCGGTGAGGACTACAAGACAACAAAATAGATTAAATTGGATCTCTGTTTAATCACAATAAAATCAATTGAAAATACCAGATAAATGACAAAGAATCAGATTAGAACTAACCTAAACGCTAAGCAAAACTTTAATCTATGAAATAAAGGCTATTTCAGTCACAGCTCTGAAAACACAGGGCATCAAAGCAGCTAACAGTACACTGTAGGTGCCATGCACTGTAGAAAATTTTCAAATGGAACAGGATCATTTCGTTCAGTTAGGATTTGATACATTTCAAATATTTGTAATATATTAAAAATTCGAAGGGATATGAAATATGTTTCAGGTTTAAAATTAATATAAACAGATAAACAATTTGTTTGGGATTTGTCCTTAGCTAAGCGGTAGGTGAGTTTTGCCACGAGGAGGATATGACGTCATAGCCTTTCCTATGACTTTGGCTGGAAGATCTAGCATTTGGTCTTCAAAGGAAGATCGCCGGGAATAGTTTTTTCCAAAACAAACGAAGGTCACAGGAACTAAATGGGCCAATTGCCCTCCTTCCTTGTATTGCACTTCACAGACAGTCGTAATGTATAAAGTTAAACAAGTGCACAATCAATGCTGCATAATTTTACATTCTTGCTCTAGAAAGCTCGTCAACAAAAAATGAATTAAAAAATACTTTTTAGCTGACCAAATATTTTGAGCGTATATTCTAACATGCTATGTTACTTGACACAAAGCCGTGTAGAAGAATGTAGCTTACGCTGAGTATTTAGCTGTCATAATCCCATAAACAATAAAAAACACTTCTTCACCAGCATTTCTAATTCAGGCTTGCACGCATATTAACGATCAGAGGTTATTTCCCAATAGGTATTCAAATTTTTACATCCATTATCTTCCATTGTCGTCGAGCATCAGCTTCTTGGTTGGTGAATTGCACTGATTTCAGGCTATTTCGATGATTTGCATTGTTTGGAAATTTACTTTTCAAATCATGGATTAAACATTGGTTTTAAAAACTTTGACAAAAAATACCAAAATATTTGAAATTTCTCTAAATCCAAAAGACAAAAGTAAACTCTAGCAAGTAAAAAGGTTCGATAAAAACCAAAATTTCAAGACAAATTAATGATCGTAAGCTTTATAGCTTTTCATTAGCCCTCGGAATGTACGTTTGAACTTAAATGCAGACGCAGAATCTCCTCAAATCAGCTGTCGTCTTCTAAGCATTGGTTTAAAACAAAGAGATGGTTCACTTTCGAGCGATATCTAAAAGTGCAGTGAATTTGTAGCAGCATACATTTTGGTTGATGTGTGGTTCTGGCAATCACTGAAATCAAATTAGCATCGAGTTTGCTAAATCAACCAAATCTAAAAAAATGTTGAAGTCTGAAGACAAAATAACTGTTGTATTGCTAAGCACAATCTTGTTGAACTGCAATAAGAAAGATCCAGATATGGTCTTTTAAAAGTCAGCTTTCATTCACTTTAAGGTTTTCATGGTTTTCAGCAGGACAAAAAAGAGAAACTTTCCCTGCTGTGATTGTACGCTGTTCGCTTTGACTCGTTTTTTCTATTGTAGAGGTACCAAATAGAACAGGCAAAAGGAAACGTTTGCGGCATTCTTGAAGCAGAAAGATTAGGCAGAAAATTTTTATAAAGAGCTCATTAGCTCAAGACAAGTGATAAATTAAAGGAGAACCTAACAGCAAACACCTTTCAAAAGCATTAAAAGCACTAAGTATCTCAAAACATAAACAAACCCAAGCTTGGTTTTCCAACATCCCACATAACGCCAAAGCTGATATTTTATGCGGTGTCATTGTCGCCTACGTCTTTTGTACAAAAATATGATTTGGTTTTACACTAGAAATTGTCCAAGAAGAAGAAAGGGGCTGCATGTTTTCAGATTTGAAAGCTTTAGAAGGATGAAAGACAATCACCTGTGTGAACCAGCAACGCAATTCAGCACGTCTTGCAATGTCTGGCTTTTTCCAAAACATGAAAACCACAAAACCATCCCTAACGAACTTCATCCCTAATTAACATTGCAAAATCATTAGTTATCAACTTTATCCGAAAAATCTTTACACGTACAGGACCCTTAGCGACTGCTACACTTATAAGTACTGGATGATCTGAAAATATCACCGCTAAATATCGCCCTATTGGCATCAAATAGAGCGGAATCATCAGCATAAACAGCCTTACACAACATTAACTGCCTTCTCAACAATCTCTTCTAGCAGCAAAAGCCAATAGGAGAATAAACAAAATGTAGGGTTATGGGGAATAAGCCCTCGTTAAAGAAACAAAGAAAACGTAGCCGTGTACATAACCTTTGCAAACATAGCCCTTGCGGATAACCTTGTTGCTTCATTTATTTAATGATTTAAAAGTTGCTGTTGATCAACTGGTGAAAGTTTGGTTTCGTTGGTATTTACAGTTCTGAGGAAATTTAGACAATCAGATAGAGACACTACTCGATGATTTTTAGAAACTTTTTGATTGCTTTTTGCTTATAAAATCACGCTGGGCAATGTTAATGAAAAATAGTTGTAGTCTCGTAGATCTAGTTGAACAGCAGTTTTCGAGTGGATTTGATAGAATTGATTTTTTTTGCAAAATACATCAATATATATTTTCAAAACTTTAGAAGTTGTTTTCCATAGCGACACGGAAAAAAGCTTGGAGAATGCAAGATCTCGACAGCTATAGCATTATTCAAACCAAACAATCACTGAAAATCTGGTTTTGTTTGAAAAGATAAATTTGATCTTTTATTGAATCATTCAAATAGTTAGGACAGGATAATAGGATCAATCTAGGTCACTGGATTTCTAAAACAGAAAGAAAACAGTAGTAGCACTCTTACATAAACAAAATCTGTATAATTAATAGGTAAAAATGGTTTAAAGGGAAATAAGCTTATATTCAATAGAATCTGCATTTGAATCTCTGTGACATAAGTGATTATTAGAGCTGGATTTTCATTTAGATTCACTTCAACATAAGATTTCCCTGTACTTGATTTTGGATTTCGTCATGTTTTGTAATAATATCTAGGTTGTATGAATGTATTCTGGAACCATCATTGTTATAGTTTTAAGAAATCCTGGACAATTTAACATGGAATGAACAGATTAAGGCAAAACATCTCATCTCCAAATACGACACAAAGTAGAGGAGTGTTTATCTCGTCTAAAAATGAAAGCTAAACCAACTTGTCCTGGTCTAGCAAAAATCAATCGAGCATCTGAGTTATTACGAGAACTTTAGCATGATTCAATTCAAACTAGATTTTGAGCAATGCTCGATATTTCCGTAGCGTTGTATGAGACAAAAGTAAGTCACTTCCTTGTTCCTCTTGTTTTTGTCGCAAGAAAACAAAACAAGCAACTATTGCCACAGCAAAAATTGCTTTTGCTCGCTTTTGCTGAAGGAACAGAACAAATGCTGGAGAATATTTTCCAATCCCTTTACGTGAAGATGCAACTACTCCAAGTAACAGCTCGCGATTTCATTTGCTATCTGTCTATGGGTAGGGTTTACTTGGTCAATTAGTTTTACACATAGATATCTGTATAAACTATACAAAAAGGTATCTTAATTGACAATTTTATTTATATTTGTAACCAATAAAGACGAAGAAAAGTGGCGACATCTTGTTATTGGCGGACTACTCTATACCCTTAATAACTCGACACAGCAAATGTATTTTTCAAAACTTTCATCTGGTGTATGTTTATGTTTACTTTTTCCTTATAGAGCCGTAATTCATTTTAATTTCACTAATATTTGTCAATCTACTGCACTTTAAGTACTTGGCTTTTTCCCATTATGATACTTTATATATACCAGTCCACTGCTTGCAAATTCAACGCTAAAAAATTGATGTTGTTGCGTTGCTATGAATACGATTTGTAAAAGAAATCATACTTCAAGCTTTTGACTGTTACTATCGAAGAAAACTTTAAATTGATTTGTTGAATGTGTCATCTAGACAGTGGTATTCAAACTCCCACGTATAAACTAAAACCTGATATTTTGGTATAACTATGTCAAACGGTCACGCAAACATATGTTGTCTGGAGAAACGTTTTTCACGCTGTTTTTGCTTTGCAAAAGAACAACCCAACGAATTTTAAGTAGATAATTAGGAATTAACTGCATAAAATAGACATGCTTCTAACATTTCAATTTTTCGATCGAACAATAGATCAAACAAAAGAGTCAGCATGCCTAATTAACAATTCTTGTCATGGACATAACGAAAAATTGGATATCAAATAAATTGGTTATGGTAAATAATAAACATGGAGATAATTAGAAAAAAATCATACCTTACTTGCTTTTCCCCAATCTCCAATTAGATATGTTTAAAAAACTGCAAAAAAGATGGACAAGAATGTCATTTTGGCTAAACCAAAGCCCAAAGTTCAAACAGAAATAAAAATTCAAGAGAAAGTATCGAGAGAAATGATTAGACTTATCTACAAAGGAAAGATGACAATTGCGCCACCAAAATTTACAACAAAAACAATTCCTAAACTAATGCATGTAATGTTTGCTGAAAAGTCAATTGACCACATGCTACAGCGAAATGAATAATCAATGAAATCCAAAACATAAGATTTCATGCGATCAAGGCTCAATTTTTATCAAGTATCTAAAGACCTTGAACGTAAAAAAAATTCGTAGACACAGATCTTTTCTCAAATGTCATGATATAAACTCGTTTTTTATAAGAAACTGTCTATAAGAAACGAGTACTGGACAGTCAGAAAAATCAAAAAACTTCAGTACTCGAAGCAAAAAATCAAGAAAATATTAAATCGTGGCAAAACAGAGAACAACATCCAAGAACATAATTGCCCTGTTGGCCTAGAACTTAAGACGCAAGGGATAAAAAAAATACTTCCAATCCCACATCTAAATACAGCATCAGAACGGAAGCGGATCTCTTGACGTGATAAAAAAGGTCACGAACATTTCATAACATCATCCATGACATCATAATTAAGAAACTCTTAAGAAATAATGAGTATTGAAATTTCCAGAACATTAAGAAACTGGAGTACCCAACATCGACCTTTGTTTCTTATAAAAAAATGAGTGCATACAAATTTGAGAAGAACCAACAACAAGAGATTATGGTGATTGTTAGGTGTAACACTTGATTATAATATCAGAAACATCTCAACTAGAGTTGATACAACCAGGAAAAAATTCCTCGTACTTGTACTTGGGTTATCAAACCATCAAAATGTAGAGATGTCTACAGTGAATTGATGATATGATAACCTCTATGAAATACTTCATAGGCTAAAAAGTCCTTTAAAGGAGACTTGGTTTTTAATTGGCATAATTGATTCGAGTAGGAGTTTAAGGGGACTATCTAGTTTTCCATTTTTTATAATAGCATCGAATATGAGTACTGAAATATGCAAACTCCCAACGTTGCTAAATATATATACAACCTCATCACATAATACATATTATGGTGCATTTTATTTTATCATACTGCTTTAATTTGCAATACATCATAATAACAGTTACATACGTCGATGGGTATTTATATAAATTACAATAGAGTCTGCCATGTAATGTTATATTATATTATATTATATTATATTATATTATATTATATTATATTATATTATATTATATTATATTATATTATATTATATTATATTATATTATATATATTATATTATATTATATTATATTATATTCATATTATTTATATTATATTATATTATTATATTATATATATATATTATATTATATTATATTATTTATATTATATATATATTATATTATATTATATTATATTATATAATTATATATATTATATATATTATCATATTATTATATTATATTATATCATATTATATTATATCATATTATACCATATTATATTATATTATACCATATAATACAATTTCATATCATACTATATCATAACGTCTATATTATGGTATACAACAGTGTACAATATCATATCATGCTATATTAGATATTTTATTACATTAGACTTGAAGCAAAAATTATTTCAGAGGGACAATAGATTATCGAAGTGTGACATCATCAAAATTAAATTTCTAAAATTTCTTAATATTGACCACATAATATGAAAGGATGAAAATACAGAATAAAATAACTCTTAACATACAAGATCAGTTAAATATGCCCAAATCTAGGTTTGATTAGGCCAATGAAACATTTCAGATTTGCTAAATGATTGCTGTTATATTGATCTGTTTCGCAACGTCATGATACCAGGACTAGATTACAGTGATTTGATGGAGAAAATCCTGTGCTAATGTTGCAATGTCTTAGCCAGTCTTTAACACATTCAGCTGGTATCTCGTAATCATTTTTTGGTTGTATGGTCAGAACTTAAAAGTTCTTGAAAAAAACTGTGACGTCACCACTTCGGTACTCTATTGTGTTGTCCGGCTGTTTGTCGCATAACTTGATTCAATCTTGATACATCGAATATGACAGAAATATTTTTTTATCATAAAATCGTAAAGATAATATTCATAATACATCCTATTCAAAGTATTACTTAAAATCAAGGCATTTATAGAAGCTAAAAAACAGGTTTACTGTGCATTTGGCGCTTCTCCACTAAATCGTGTGACCTAACTTGGCAATTCTCCTGGCTTGGTATTTGGGATATGTTCAAAACAGCTAAATTCAAGCGATTCTACTCAAAACGTGGCATCCCAGATTATTTTCATCTTTTGATTTGAAGCATTTTTCAACTCAGGATGAAATAAATGAACTTCAAATCTGGCATACCACTTTTTGTTGACGTTTTCATATAACAAAAGATGCACCTTTTTTGTTATCCATGATAACAAAAAAGGCTCACCAAAAAATGAATTGCAATTGAAAATATTTAACAATAAACAGTCATTATTCATGAACACTATTATTGTTCTCATTACTGCCAAAGTTATCTCATCTTTTGCTACAGCTCATGGCTGTCTCAAACTACATTTTCAACTTTTACCCAGTTTCTTTAAAAGAAGAAAATTCACTCGAATGAATTCACTTGATGATAGATATCAAACATCACATCAAGAATTATATTAACCGCGTTGAGTTTGAAAACCGTTTACTTACAGACACAACCATCACACGCTGCATATGCTTTTAATGCCATAAGAAACGCTCTTTGAGAAATATCTTACACCCGACGGTCTGTTATAGCTCAAATCTCTGAATGCTGTTCATTTCACTTTTGAACCAATAAAAACATGACATGTTACTGATTATGTCAAGAGTACCTTCTTATACAGATATAGGTAATTTGTTGAGGATGATTCTATAAAATCTCCAAATTAAATATGCAATGAATTCCTTAATTATTTATAAATGGATAAGAATTTATGACACGGGGGTCTTATGAGTCAATTAATCTCGTTTGAAGAGACATGTTTTCTCTGGCAAACTTCTGCATTTACGAAATTGTTATCAATACCTTTCATTTTTTTGTAAAATATTTTACTGCTTTCAGTTCCTCTTATGTTGATATTCTCACATTTAAAATCAAATATGCGAAATGAATTCAACACAAACTCGCATGCTTCAGGTAGTTACTAGCTAAGTGCTAAAATGTGCCAAAGAGGCTAATGTCCAAGGCTAATGCACAAGGCAAATTTAGGCGTATTAAATTTTGAGATGTTTCAAATTTCGATGAAACTACCCGACACACTATACCAACAACATGCACAGAGACGAATTTCTACCTCCTTGAAAGAGCAAACCTTACAACTTTTAGCAGAAAGCATGAGATTTAAGTAATGAATATATAAATCAAATTCTCTCACTGAAGGGTCTTGGCGGACTGAATATTTGAATGATAGATTTTTGACCAAAGTAAATGATTTAATAATAGGTTTCGGGGACTGCAGTTTTGGTTTAGCAACATTGGCTCACACACATCCGAGCTCATCTTTTTTTACCCCAATTTTATTAAGCAATCTACGAAATTGCATTTGGCCCTCTCAAACAAAAAGTGTAATTCATTGACAACTCTTCAAAGTTAATTTTTTGCTAGCCGTTTGCTTATATCTAGCCATATTTGATGTCCATGCAATGTTGCATACAATTAGTTTGATTGCTCGGGTTCCGAACTGCCAGAAAAGTTCAAAAGGCCTATGTTTTTAGGGAACTTAAGAAGAAACAAGAATTTGCTTTCCAGTCTCAAGAATGTGCCTTTCAGGAAATAGCATTACAAAGATCAAAATAAAGGCAGTACACTTTCTCAGTTAATGTTAAGGCAAATCAAGAGATGCTTGAGTTGAGATTAATGTATATGATATCATGTTGGGCAAAGGACTTATTATATGGTATCATGTTGGGCACATGTCTAGAACAGTCTATTTATATGACGTTCAGAAAAGAGTTGTTAATTACTATGCGGTAGAATGCTTCATTTCATATTATGGTTGAATACCATATTGTTTAATACCATACAATTTAGCAATTTTATGTAGATGACTTTTTCTGTAGACGACAATAGATGAACTATTTTTGCCGTGTTAGTCACCAAGACTAGAAGTATGATGAATTAATAAGACACCCAACTTTGTATATATCACAACAGCATTAATCAACAAAGCAATTAAGAAATATTCTTTACTATAACAAAATTATATTCAGTTCATGGTCATTTATGTTTTAAGGGACTAATCTAATCTGAGAAAGGCAGGTAATTACAGTAAAATGAGTTGTTAACAGATATTTTGGTGCATTAGACATGTAACAAAACTTTTTCATCTGTTAATAAGAGTAGCACCCAAGATTTCAGTAGAATTGCTGGCAAATATATATGGAAGCAAGCGATAACCAGTGAAATCTCGAATATGAAGTAACTTGAATGATCAAAATATTTCGTACACTAAAGCTTTTCGTCTGACACTCTTCAGAGTTTAAAACGTCAGAACATAGATCGAAAACTTTACGCTAGGAAAAATAATTACCCAGTTGTGGAAATATATATTTCCTGGCGTAGAGTTTTCGATCAATGTTCTGGAGTTTGTAAATTTACCCACCAAAATTTACAACAAAAACAATTCCTAAACTAATGCATGTAATGTTTGCTGAAAAGTCAATTGACCACATGCTACAGCGAAATGAATAATCAATGAAATCCAAAGCTTAAGATTTCATGCGATCAAGTATCTTTATTAAGTATCTAAAGACCTTGAACGTAAAAAAATTCGTAGACACCGATCTTTTCTCAACTATCATGATATACACTCGTTTTTTATAAGAAACTGTCTATAAAAAACGAGTACTGGACAGTC